TCGATTTGAGTATAAGCTCGTCAAAATCGGAGACCGTTTGGTAACTCAAATTGCGGTTTGAACCTTCCTACAGGGCTTCGGGTCGCTTCGGGTCCTTGATTCGGACTCATTTGGGCTCGGATTGGGTTGATCTTGGTGTCGTTGGGTTCGTATTTCCGAGACGCTCAGTTTAACTGTAAGTTTGCTGAAATCGGAGTTCGGGTGCTCCCGGAATTAATTTTTGAAGTTTCCAACTAGCTTTTGCCTCAAGATTCGTGCCCGATCAAGCTAATTTTGTGATGTCATATCAACTTTTATTTTACATTTTCTAAAATTTGAAGTTCATTTTATCCAAACATATTTTTAAATTTTTATCTACGATTCATCTTCGATGGAAATAATATCTTGCGAAGGTATGTTGAACAAGAAACTATTATACAACTCAACTTAGGCTTCGTTTCGGACGGCTTTTTTATTGTTTTATAAAATAAAGTTTTAATAAAAATTTTTTTATAAAATTTTAATAAAATTTTTGTACTAAAACTCCATTTTAGAAAGTAATAAAAAAGCCGTCCCAAATAAAACCTTAATCTATTTGTTAGGAGTTTTGGCTATTAACCAAAATATTTTTTATTTGAATATTATGTATATGATATGTATGAGAGTTTGTATTAATTGGTATAAATATTTCAAATTTTATCTTCCCTTTAAAAATGGCCTACACATAAAAGATCAAGAATTATTTTAATGGAAAGATTTTAACCAAAAGATTCTGTCTAAAACTTGAACATAGGGATGTCAATTTCAGGTCATGGGTCGAGTTCGGGTCGAACACGAAATTGACCCGAGTTCAAACGGGTCAAATTTTTGAACATGGACCCGACCTGGGTAGGTAAACAAGTCGTAAATTCGAACCTGGACCCTACCCGGCGATTTGCCGGGTTGACCCAACCCTACCCGAACGGTAGAGAAGGAGCTCGGGTTTCGCGAGCGCGGTAGCGGGCGACGCAGAGCACGGCAGCGGGCAACGCTAGTTCGGCAGCGGGCGACGGCGCGGGCACGGCAGCGGGCGCAGGGCAGTGGGCAGAGCGGGCGAGGGCAGCAGGAAATTCAAAAAAAAATTAAAATAAACTAATTTTCGGTTTGACCCGGCAACCCGCCGGGTCAACCCAAACCCGACTTGTTTTTTCAAAATTGACCCGGTCGGGTCCGGGTCGGATTTTCTTGTCGTGTCAAATATTGACACCCCTACTTGAACATAATTAATTTTAAATTCTTTTGATTTATTTGATATATATATATATATATACTGGTCATATGATTAATTTTAAATTCTTTAGATTTTGGTCATAAGATTCTGACTCAAAATAAATATAATAACTTTAAATAAAATGCACCCTAATTAAAATTTAGTCAAAATAATGAAATATCCTCACCTCACCTAATTTTTCCCTTGATTTCAAGTAACGTGGTTATCGATCTTCCACACATAGGAACGCTTAAATGCTTAATGATTATGGCATAGCAGATATCATATTTTTCAATACATATGTACAAATTTAACTAATTTGTTTTGAGGGCTTAGGTTTATTTAAATATGAAGATATCATTTTTTTTTTCATTTTTTTTTTTTTTTGAACGGCTTTCTTACTGCATCTTAAAATAGTTTTTTAGTATAAGAAATTTAAATTTTGTATAAAAAATTTGCTTTATGAAGTAAATTGTCAATTAAAGATTTTGAGAAGTTTGAGATTTTGATTTCTAATTATGTCATCTTTGAGATTTTCATATCTAATGATGTCATCCATTCTAACAACTTAGATGAGACCTCTAATATCTTTGGGATTCAAAATTTCATTAGTAAATTGTCAATTAAAGATTATCAACCTTTATTTGATATTAGTTGAATTGCTTATTACAAACAACAATTCATATCATTTGTTGGCCTGCTGCATTTTACTAGTTTAGAAATACTTCTATTCCTAAAATTATGATCAAGAAAATTAACAAACTCATGTCTTGATTTCAATTTAATAATGATGTTGTTAAAAATCTTCACATTCTACCTTGGAGTTGGTCCTCCAGGCCTAAATACAAGGAGACTTTTAAGTAGGGGTGTCAATATTTGACACGACACTACAACCCGATCCGGACCCAACCCGTTTGATAAACGGGTCGGGTTCGGGTTCACAGATTTGACCCGTTTGAAAAAACGGGTTGGGTCGGTTTGACCCGGCGGGTTACCGGGTCAACCCGAAAACCCGTTTAATTTAAGAAAATAGAGAAATGTTTTTGTACAAATTAGTTCCCCGATGCTCATTTGATGGATTCCTCAGCAACTCCATAACAAGCTCCTTATCCTTGCCCCGCCCAATGAGATCATTTTTAGGCAAGGATCCTGTTTCACGTGCTCTGTGCAGCTCAAGCTGCTGCTTCTGAAGCTCATGCTTTGCGTCTTTTACAAGATGAAGGAAAGTATCAACACCAGTTGTTGTAACTTTATCAAGTTTCTGCACAGCCGTCTCGAGTCGCTTCAAGGTGGGTTCAATATTGAGAGCACGTGGACGACAGCTTGGATCAATATCTTCGGTGATCTGCTCTTGGCTGGAAGCAAATTGGACGACAGCTTGGATCTGGGGGAGAATCTCTTTCAGCTTTTCCATCTCCTCCTTCCTGCGTTTCTGCCATCTGACTTGATCTTTCAGGTAACGTAAGCCAGCGCTGATGAGCTTCTCCATGATTGGATATTTGGATCAAGAAACATATCCGTCATGGCAATCGTCGATGATCGATGTAGAGCAGAACAATTGAAGAGTAAGAAAAAAAAAAGAGATTGGAAGAACGCTGCCGGGTCGCGGATCGGGTCGGGTCAACCCGGCAACCCGATCGGATCGGGTTCGAGTTGACCCGTTTAGATACGGGTCGGGTCGGGTTCTCCCCGAACCCAACGGTTTGACCCGAATTGACACCCCTATCTTTAAGCTTTATTTTTTACTAGTTTCTAAAATATTTTTTTAGTAAAAAACATTAGAACTACAAATTTTGTAGTACAAAGCTATTTTTAAAAGCAATAAAAAAGTCATCTCAAATGAAGTTTTAAGCTTTGCTTGAGACTGCTTTCGTATTGCTTCTTAAAGCTAGGGGTGTCAATTCGGGTCAACCCGTCGGGTTCGGGTCCAACTCGACCCGACCCGTACATAAACGGGTCAACCTGAACCCGACCCGTTTTTGCAAACGGGTCGAACATTTCAACCAAATAAACGGGTTTTCGGTTTGACCCGGCAACCCGCCGGGTCAACCCGACCCCACCCGTTTTATCAAACGGGTTGAATTTGCAAACCCGGGCCCGACCCGTTTATCAAACGGGTCGTGTCCAACCCGGATTTTTCGGGTCGGGTTGTCGTGTTGTGTCAAATATTGACACCCCTACTTAAAGCAGCTTTTTAGTTTTACAAAAAAATTATTTTAAGAAGCAGTAAGAAAGTCGTCACAAACAAAGCGTTAATCTGCCTTAGAAATCTTGCACTTTATTAGATATTTTGGGTGCTAAAATCTTTTTTACTTTCAACCTTCTTGATAATGTTATGGTTATAGATGTTATTTATAAAGGTATTTGGCAGCTATCTTCTTTATTGCATAGTTTTTTTTCTTTTAAGCAATAAGAAAATTCTTAACATTGTTATTAATTGATAAATTAAAATTTTCATATCTATGGTTTTACATGGTCTATGTGTTTTATGAGAAGTGAAATAAATTAAATGTGTTGTTGGTTGTTGGCTCAATTTCTTTGTTCTTTCTAATATGTTATTAGGCCTTATCATCTCATTCGTTTTCATAAATTTGTTGTTTGATAAATATGTTGGTTTTATTTTATTGGGACTATGATGGCAGAGTTTAATTGAGTAATTTTAACTTTGGATGGAATTCATTGCTATGGTTTCGGATTAAAATACGTATGTAAGGATTTGTTTGGGATAGCTTTTTGATTAATTTGTTTTTCAAATAACAATCATAATTTTATTTGTCTGCTACTTTTTTTTTTTTCAAAAGTTATATGATGGAAAGCTAGTTTTAATAATCATAATAGCGAAGTTGCTTTCTCCACAAGCAACTTTATAAAAGGTTCTGGTCGTCTCAAACAAATCCATAATTTGTCATATCAGATTCCTTTGTGTTGGTGTTTCATGAAAATGTTTTTGGTTGGTTGTAACATGTGACTTGCAATCTTTTTGGTTTATGTTGTTCATTTCCTTTTGTTTTGAGTTAAGAACTTCTCTAGAATGCCACAAGACAGTTATTTTTTTTTTAAAACGAGTAAGCAGTGTCCTTAGGCCAGTGAAAACCCCGGTCAACCTAACATGCAATCCACACCAATTTACACGGGCCAACACTTAAGGCTTTCACTGCTTGCCAAAGGATTTGAACCAGAGACCTAGGTTTGACCCAGCTGGCTCTTCACCACCCGAACAAGCTAAGGTGGGTAACTTCTTATATTTTCACATCACTATTATTCTCATATGGAGTGAGGCTCCTTTCTTGGGCCAGTGAAAAAATAATCTCAATTGTTAACTATTAAAAATTAGTTTTGTGTTATGAATATGGGGCATGAATTTTTGGGAAGAATCTCTCTGCAAATGTCTTTGCAAATAAGAAGGGGTGTCAATAATTATTCTGATTCAGTTTGGTCTGAAGAGTACAAATTTGGGTAGACATATTTAATAAACAAGTAGAATTTTGGTCATATATTTCCACCCGTTTATAATAAAAATATTTTTTAATTAAAATTGATTATCATGTCGGGTTTAGATTCACCTTTTGACCCGTTTATTAAATGGGTTAGGCTCAGATTGAACGAATTCGATTCCGATCAATTTTGGGTCAGATCTGAACCCGACCGATTGACACTTTTTGACACCCTTGCAACTCAGCACAAATTAACTTATTTCATTGTCATCTTGGATTTGGTGCTTAATTGGACTATTGGAGTGCTGCCCATTGAATGAAATATTGCATCCAGAAGGATTTCCCAATTCTTAAATATAGGGGTGTCAAAAATTGTCACAATTTGAAATTTCTATTTGAATCCGATCTAAAATTTTTGAGTTAGAATCAACCCGTTTTAAGAACGGGTCTAGTAGTTGAGGTTCTGATTTTCGACCCGATAGAATTCCGGGCCAATTTTGGATAAACCCGAAACCCGATTTTGACCCGGCTTAGAGGCGCGAGGATGCTTATCATCTTCTCTTTCTTTTTCGTCGTTGCTGTTCGGCTTCGTTGCTTCGCAATTGCACTTCTTCGGCTCCTTCGTTGCTTCGCAATTGCACTTCTTCGGCTCCTTCGTTGCTTTTCGACTTCGCTCCTTCGACGACGTTCCCTTCCTGTCGGATCGGTAGCTACGACATGCTGATCGGAAGCAACGACGGGAGCTCGCTCGCTGTGAAGTTAAATTTCTCCCTTTCGCGCGCTTCTTCGGCCAAATTCCGTAATTCCGCCGAACTACAGGATTTAGTAAATCCGGGATTTACGGAAAAAAGAGGGAAACGGAGGATTTATTCCGCCGTGAGATTTACGGGACGCTCAAATTCCGTATTATGGCAGGATTTAGCATAAATCCTGTTGCCAAACAGCCACTTCAGATCAAGATTATTTTGTACCAGCAAGAGCAGAGGCACGATAAAAAAAACGAGAATCAGCATTTCCATCCCTTCAACTTCAGGAAATTGCTTGGCAATGAAGTGGAAGCTCCCAGTGGCCAAAGAAAGAAACGAAATAAAAGATGTGATAGAAGAGAGGTAGAGAAGATATCCAGCTTCATTTTCTATTCCTACTTGTAAGAGAACTGAAAAGCTTCTCTTTTTATCAATCCCTCTTGGATAGTAGAAACAGAAAACACTTGAACAGTTAGATAATTCACTTGATGGCTGTGTGGAAGCAGAAGAGAGCATGGTGCTGGCTTCTATTTCTCTTCTTGCTCTCCTGGAACCTGATTTTGGAACCTAAGATTGCTCAAGCTGAGAGAACACTCTTATCTGAGATGGAAAATCATAATACGAGTACATTTAAGGCATATAGACACCACTTTGCAAAAGCTTTTGGTCCTCTCTTTGAGCCCGGAGACTCCACCACTCGTGTTTGGCCTGTATGATTTCTTCTTCTTTTTGTTGCTTCTGTGGCTGATTTTGTCAAAAAATATACATAACCTTGGATGAGAATGGTTCAGGACATGGAGTTTGGCTGGAGAGTTGTGCTTGGTTCAGTCATTGGTTTTCTTGGTGCTGCTCTCGGTAGCATTGGTGGAGTCGGGGGAGGCGGGATCTTCGTTCCAATGCTTACTTTGATCATTGGATTTGATCCAAAAACCTCCACCGCCATCTCAAAGTGTGAGTTTATAGTGAAATCACCAAAAAACTTTCAAGTTTTACAGGTTATTAAATACTTTAGTAATTTAGATTCTTTTCATAGGTATGATCATGGGAGCTGCTGGATCGACTGTATACTACAATCTGAGGTTGAGACATCCTACAATGGATTTGCCTATCATTGATTATGACCTTGCTTTGTTGTTTCAGCCAATGCTCATGCTTGGGATCAGCATTGGTGTTGCCTTCAATGTTATGTTTCCAGATTGGATGGTTACTGTGCTACTTATCATTCTATTCTTAGGTAATTGATTATGATGATTTTAAGGGTGGTGGATCTGCATTTTGTTATATCATAGAGATTTGATATAAACCTGATAGAAAATACTTGAGTTTGTTAGTAATCCTAAGGGTGATACTTGAGTTCGCAAGCAAACCTATCACTAATTGGTGAAAATGGTAAGAATAATGCAAAATCTGGGTGAAATCAGACCCAAAATGATGGATTGCAAAAAGAGAATCAAGCCAAACAAGCACGAAAATAAGATACAAGTGATCCTCAATTCGAGAGAGAAATCGTCTCTCCCAAATCTCTAGACAAGGTAGTCTAGAGCTCAAGTCGACAAGGAACCTCAATAGAAATTAAATCAAGCATGCCCTCACCCTAAAACATCACATGCTATTTAATACATAAACTTTCCTAATCAAATTTCCCTCCCAAGCCCTAGCCGCCCCTTCTTTTTCAAATTTGAACTCAATTGGAATAGTGGGACCCACTATTGTGGGCGGCAAACTTGGAGGAGGCGGGACTAGCCCACCTCCTATACACACAAACCGGCCCTGGACAGGCCGGTTCAGGAGGAACCGGCCTATCAAAACCACTTGATTATGATTTGATCGTCAATATCCTCATACAAATTCTAATGAAAATTTGTATTTCATCCATGAACCTTCAACTCCAAACAAACTATAACTGATAAATAAATGATTGATGTGCTATGTGGCAGGTACCTCCACCAAAGCACTCTTTAAAGGCATAGAAACATGGAAGAAAGAATCACTAATGAAAAAGGTGAATTTCTGCCCTTAATGCTATCTAATTATACTAATTTTTATCTCACTTAATAAACTTACTTTGCCAGGAAGCAACAAAAATGTTGGCCTCATCAGCAAACTTGGAAGGTGAGTTTAAGTGAGCATGCAAAACAAACAATCCATCATGTCTAAAGCAGCTATCCTTATAATCTTCCTTTCTTTTTTCTTAATAATAATATCACAGCATTACCTGAAATGAAAAGTTACTGATCTTAAGATTTCGAGAGATAGAATTAACATAATTTGACTTTGACAGGTGCAGAACAGGAGTATAGCCTAATCCCAGGAGGTCCAGGTCCTAATATGCAGCTCAAATCTTCCATGGATGATGAGGTAAATGTACACAACTCTCCTTGGGCTATTGGTTGAGAGCTTAGGCTTCCCACTAAGAGGTCCAAGGTTCGAGTCTATGTGGATGCGTTGTGTGTGAGTTTGCCTTAAATGGCCTAAATGTCCCAAAAAAAAAAAAAAAAAAAAAAAAAGGTAAATGTCAAAGAAAAATTTTCAACTATTTGAAAATCATTTTATAACATTATCACTATATGCTTTTTCATCATTTTAAGGTTCCAATAAAGGATAATATTTTCTGGAAGGAGCTCATGGTTCTTATGTTTGTGTGGGTGGCATTCCTTGCTGTGCAGATAGTTAAGGTGAGATCTGATTCATATTATTCTACCACAATTTTTTTCCTTCTATATTGCCTCTTAGGGTTTTAATGATTTTCTCTATTGGATTGTAATGACTCCTTTGCTTGTAAAATTATTGTGCAGACTTATGCCACAACTTGCTCCGTCGAATACTGGATTCTGAATGTCTTGCAGGTAAGATATTCCTTCATTTTAATTCTAGTCCTTGTGGAAGTTCGTTAAAGAAATAATGCATGATATTCATCTTATCTTGAAGAAAAATGATTTCATCTTTAATTATGATAGGAAATACTTGAGTTTGCAAGTAATCCAAGAGGAAATACTTGAGTTCGCAAGCAATCCTAGCAATAATTGGCCAAAACAGCAAGAAAAACTGGAAAAAATCAATCTAAAAATGATAAATTGCAATCATGGAATCAAAGCAAAGCAAACTCCAAGCAAGATTCAATTGATCCTCAATTCAAGAGGAGGATCATCTCTCCCAATCTTTAGATTGGGGATCTAGAGCCCAAGACACAAAGAAAACTCCAAGAGAAAAAACTCCAAATCATGCATAACCCTAACCCTAATCCCTCCTCCCATACTTAAAGCATACAATTAATTATTTAAAGTCAAATTACTCCCTTGGCCTTGCCGCCCACTCCTTTGCCTCAAATTCCTTTGAATTTAAATCTCTAGTGGACCTCACTCCTTCCTCTCTCCTTACGCCGCCGCCCCTCCTCTTATAGCAAAGAGCCGGCCTCTTTAAAGTGGCCGGTTGGACTAATCTAACAAATTACTAACCAACAAGTTCATTTTCCTAAATTTGGCAGTAATGATGGGTGTTTAAATTCAAGTAGTCATCAAATTAATATTTTAATTTGCTGATTTAAGTAGGCTTTAATATTTCTAAGTAATGAAGTAAGTGCAATCATAAAATTTTCTTGAGACTAAAACCCCATTTTCTTTTGTATCTTGGAATCTAAGTATCTAACAATGCTTAACCAGTTAACCTTTCCATGTGCTGCACAGGAAAACAACAGACCATTTAACAGTTTTTCACTTCTCTGATGCAGGTGCCCATAGCTTTGTCAGTTACAATCTATGAAGCTGCAAGTCTAATACAAGGGAGGAGAACAATTGCCTCAAGAGGAAAGCAAAACATATGTTGGAAAGGACTTCAGCTTTTCCTTTACTGCTGCTTTGGGGTGTTAGCTGGGATAGTTGGAGGTTTGCTTGGCCTTGGAGGAGGGTTCATCTTGGGACCTTTATTCCTTGAGATGGGAGTGCCCCCTCAGGTTCTGCTCTTTCTGCGCCATTCAAAATTCATCCAGTATTTATTTACTTTTAACATACATATACTGTCTCATAAGCTGATTATTCAAAACTCACTTGTTTAATTTGATAGGCTCTATGACGCTTAAATTAAATAATAACAGAAAGATAAATCCTAATACCATTCATGATAACTTAATATCGTTTAAGTAACATAACATATAGCATCGAATCAAACATACTGCAATTGATATATACCATTGCAAACCACTATAAACTTGATGCTAATCATTCAACATACAATAGTGAAAAGGAAAGAAAATCACTAAGGCTTCGTTTGGACGGCTTTCTTGCTGCTTCTTAAAGGAACTTTTTAGTATAAAAATTTTATTTGTTGTACTAGAAAGCTGCTTTAAGAAGCAATAAGAAAGTTGTCCCAAAAGAAGCCTAAATCTATCTACAAGGAAAATAAGTAGACTTCATGTAGCCTAAAAGCTAAGATGCTGAAGATGACTAACATTGGAATATTCAAATGGTTATGCAGGTTGCAAGTGCAACATCAACATTTGCAATGACATTTTCATCATCCATGTCTGTCATTCAATACTACCTTCTCGATCGTTTCCCTGTTCCATATGGTAAGAAGAAATAAGTTAAGCCAATCTCTCAAATTCTCATTTTGTAAGTTCATGAGAAAAATATTATATTCTTATATGATGCAGCTTCTTACTTCGTCTTTCTCGCCACGGTCGCGGCTTTCACCGGTCAACACATTGTGAGGAAGCTTATAGTACTACTTGGCCGGGCATCTTTGATCATTTTCATACTGGCGCTAACCATCTTTGTTAGTGCTATAAGCCTAGGTAACCATTGTCATCACAAACCAAACTACCAAAGCTTACAGTAATATAATAGACAAACAACTTGTAATTTTTATTTCACCTTCTACAGGTGGAGTTGGTATAGCAAACATGGTTGAGAAACTGGATAGGAAAGAGCACATGGGCTTTGAGAACCTCTGCTACCGGACATAGATAATCATGTTTCGAGATGAAAGGAACTGCAAACCGAAAGATTCAAAGTTTTGATCTCAAGAGAAAGAGTCTTAATCAACAAGACGTTCAGTTCACAGTATCAGTAGTAGTTGTAGTTGGACAGCTTTCCTTCTATATATCATACTAGGTAATGTTTTGTTCATGGAATACAAACGGTAACTGATAGTTTGAAATCAATATTAGTTCTACCAGAAACAAAAAATATCTTCATGTTTTAATATAGCATCTACTAGAACTTTTTTAAGACTGTTACAATTTAAAAAATATCTATCAACTTCTTTTTATGGACTTATTGTATGGTCTAATGAGAGGAAAACTTTTTAACTTCTGCCATGCCAGATAAGCAGTAAGAAAGTCATTTCAAACGAAACCTTAATTCTAAATTATCTTCTTTGATGTAGGATGCCATAATATTTCAAATTTCTAATGCAAGTAAATGAAGTAATGGAATGAAATTATCAAATTAAATGTCAAAATTATAATTTCAAATACAAACAATTAAAACAAGTATTTCTTTTGATATAAAAAGTATATAGATTTACTGAAATATTACCCAAATTTTAAAAATTATTAATATAACATTTCTATTCTTTAAATTAACCCCTAATAGTATATTTATTTCTGTAATAAATTTAAAACGGTTTAATTGACATGTGTTTTAACTTTTTTGTTATAGAATAACTTTGTTGCTTTGTGTCTAGCACTTAATTTGGATCATCCTTGTGGTGGATGTGAATGTCTGATATTATCAACCTACCTTAGGGCCGGACAAAACTAAACATGATTGGCATTGAAATCATGAATAGAATGTGCCCTAAGTTCAATAAACCTAGAAATTTTGATCATCATATGATTGTTTAGTCATAACCACTCATAAAATATCCCTTTCTAGTCGAGTTTTGATGAGCTCACGAGAATTGTCTACAATATTAGACAACCATTAGATTAGAGATGTTCACTACTTCCGAGATGTTTAAGTACATTAGTCATGATGTCACACATCTCGCTCGCAAAGTTTATATGCCCTATAAACTCTAAATATCATTTGGTAATCCAATTAGATTCACTTGTTAGATATCGTTGATCATTATCCATGGTCAATCATCTTGCCCCATTCTTAGAAGAATCATGACAAGCTTGTAGCAAGTATTTGCAATTTAGCCATGACACCTAGATTGGAAGCTCACTACTAGTCTACTATCAAGACTTTCAAGCACTTTGCACATGATGTCGCTACATCATCATCGCTCGCTCAATTGCCAAATTACCTATAAATATCCCTCGCTTCTTCTATAGAGGCAGGAATGATTTGAGTTTTCTAGAAGCTTTATTTTTGGCTTATTGAGATATTCAAATTGATTGTAATAAAAGGATAGAGTGAGGGATTATAATGCACTTGAAACTCTTCATAGTGGAAATGTCTCACCTTGGGCAATGGATGTAGGCCTATATGGCCAACCCACTTATATTATTTCACTCTTTTTATTCATTATTAGTTGATCAAAATATAGTGTGAGCCCTCCACCAACAAAGTGAATCAATCAAAATCAAAATTGCAATCATCTAAACTCTAATTTCAACGAACTTATAGTCTTGAATCTTCAAAAATATAAGTTTGCTTTGCTGTTGAATGTAAATATAAAGACTTTCAAGATTCTGCACTTGAGCAAGAAAACAAAAAGTAATAGAAACGAAAGTAAGGTTTCATTTTGAATGCCAAGCCTTAATATATTCAATGGGATCAAACATCAAATTCCTAATTTGCAAAATTGACCCACTGAATCATCTTTTACTTGCTCACACTCACAGCCCGGTTGATCCAAATCCACCAGATCCACGAATGGTAGAATCAAGTTCATCGATCTCAACAACATCTGGAGTTATGATCTTCTGAATGATCAGCTGAGCAATGCGATCACCGGGCTTTACCTCAAAATCCAAATCCGCATGGTTGAACAATATAACACCAACAGGTCCTCTGTAATCAGCATCAATAACACCGGCTCCCACGTCGATCGAATGCTTCCATGTCAGTCCAGATCTCGGAGCTGAAGAAAAAGAAATTTTTTTAAGAAAACGCATTTCATCAAGTACGTTGAGGTCAACATAATCAGTGGCAAATAAAGTTTGATTTTTATTTGGAGTGAAAATTAAAATAGGAAACAAAAGTCACATAAGATAAAGAAAAAATGCAGAAATAATATCATATCCCAATTCAAACAAAATATGTTTTAATTGATAAGTCAATAGAGCAATCTTATTAACTGCCCAATCAACAAATAACAAGAATGTGGATCTTCAAAGAAGACCACATTTCCCTTTGCAATTTCGCCTTTCTTTCAGCAAAAAACGAAGATGGGACTATAACTTCTAGCACAAACACTTCGATGCGAGTATTTCAAAAATCCCATCCTTGTTTTGTGTTAAATTTAAACGGATCTTATGCTTTTAAAGTAAATGTTTCTGTAAGCTGCATCTACATTATATCCCCCGAGCATAACGATAAATCATTTTCTTTATTTTCTTTTTTCCCCCTCAATCAAATACTTGAAATGCTGACCGATTCGAGCATAAGTATCTTCTGGAATAGCAATGCTGAGATCAGTCGGAATAAGGGCTTTCCCTCTGGCTGGAACTTTGACCTCTGCTGCACTGAATCAAAGCAAACAAATTAAACCACTGTAATAAGAGGCCGATCCTATTTTCAAAAAAGAGAAAAGTAAAAAGAGGAGCACTTATTTACCTGGAGAGATCATATCCAGCGGAAAGAGAAGATCCTCTTGTAGGCAATATAGCATTGGTAGAGAGTTTCTTTACCTTGAGAAAGGTGAGACTGCGAGCCGCTTCTTCGGAGAGTTTGGGGATTTTAGGAGAAGGTTCAAGCAAATCACCGTTTTCTGCCATGGCTGCTCGAAACCAGAAGCGAAAGGAAGGGAAATCGGTTCGACTTGTTCGGCTTTTGGAGGCCAAGGAACTCTTTTTGAAGGAGCTGAAGCGCGAAATAAAAACCGTTTCCCGCCTAGGTTTTTTTTGAGCGCGCTGGGAATTTCATGAGCAATCAGAAAATATAAAGGAATTTAGTTTACACATATACTATATTAATTTTTATATTTATTTATATAGCACTTAAAATTTTAAGTTATATTATATATATATTATTAATATTTATTTATAATGGCAGTGTTTTTTTTTTTGGGTGGGCGGTTGAAAGTGGTGTAACTATGTGTTTTTTTACTCAGTTTTAGGATTTTTCAGGTTAAATCTTGTCCTTTTTTTCTCGCTCCACTTTTGTTTTTCTTATAATTTTTTGTTATGTGATTATACTTCACAACAATTAAGGCGAATATTAGTAATAACCCAAATATTTAATGACAACGAACCCGGAAGGCCAGAACTAACCCAACACGAACACGGCCCGTTTTTACATATAGGTCAACTTTTTCAACACGGAACCGACCCGCACGAGTTGCCAGGATGACATGATCCATTGTGGGATGAGGTGTCAGCTGCTCGGCGAGCTGATGACAACGGTGGGACTCGAGCACGGACACGACAGCGGGTAGATCGAGCAGACACGAGTGCGTGCAAGAATTGGGATTTCTGATTTCAGCATTTTGTGTGCAACGGGTTGGAATATTGGTCAATTCGAGTCATTCCCGGGTTTTCAGGTAAACCTGAACCCAATCAGATTTTTGAAACTTGTCGGTTTGTTGAACCCGAAGCCAACCTGTTTCTCAAATAGGTTAATCCTAACCCAAAATTTTCATCTCAAGCTCGAGCCAAAATTTCAGGTCGTGTTAAATATTGACACCCCTACTCAGCACCTATCGCTCAAAGAACTATTAGAGCAAATTCAATTGCATACGACTAAGTTTTAAGATCATGTCTTAATGCATGAAAATATAAAAGCTGTTCAGTATTTAACATGAAATAACGGCATCAATAATCTGCTGTGTTTTAAGATCAAGATGATTTTGTACCAGCAAGGGCAGAGGAATGATTAAGAAAACGAGAAACAGCATTTCCATCCCTTCAGCTTGTGTTTCCATCCCTTCAGCTTCAGGAAATTGCTTGGCGGCAATGAAGTGGAAGCTCCAGTGGCCAAAGAAAGAAACGAAATAAAAGATGCGATAGAAGAGAGGTAGAGAAGATATCCAGCTTCATTTTCTATTCCTGCTTAGTAAGAGAACTGAAAAACATCTCTTTTTATCAATACCTTTTGGATAGTAGAAACATAAAACACTTGAACAGCAAGATAATTCACTTGATGGCTGTATGGAAGCGCAAGAGAGCATTCTTCTTCTCTTGATTTTGGAACCTAAGATTGCTCAATCTAAGAGAACACTCTCATCTGAGATGGAAAATCATAATACAAGTACAATTGGGGTACGGTATATCTTAGTTGGCAACTTCCAAAATTAAATTTGGGACAATCCAAACTCCAATTTCAGCTAACTTATAGTCAAAATGAACATCTCGAGGAGACAAACCAAACGACATCAAAATCGGTCCAATCTGAGCTTAAATAGGTCCAAATCGGGGGGTTGAAGCACATTTGAATCAAAGCACAAATTGGATAAGCAAATAATATATATATATATATATATATGCTTTATCTTGGGGTTTAATTATATCGTTATTCATTAACTGTAACAGGGAAGATCTAATGTGATCGTAGTATAACTTCAAGTTCGCTGACCGTCGCCAAACTTTCACATGACCATTATCACTTCCACCCGCCCATCATCAAATAATTTCTTTTGGCGCTTACATCCACTAACTTTGACATATTAATTAATAAATGAAATAATATAATAATATATCATTTCTTTATTATTCAGAACCAGGCACCCTCGCAAAAATAGTTATCATAATGGCATACCAATAAATGTTGACAAAACTTATATATTTTGATATTTCCATTTTTAATGAGTAGTACTTTAAATTACAAAAAATTTAGGAAAAAACGGTTATATGATATCATCCAAAATTTTAGACATATATATAACAGTTTATTTAAAAATAAATTAGTAAATAAATGTATATAACACCATAACTCATTGAATATATTAAAAAAAAAAAACATAAGAATTTATTATTTATATATATAACACTTAAAATTTTTATTTATATATCTAACACTTAAAATTATTTAATAACAAAAAAATAGCAATCACCATTATTATCCCCAACTCTACCCCACAAGCATTAAGGAGCAAGCCAAGGCTTAAATGTCTAAGAACAGGTCCCATGAAAAAGATTGAAGAAAAAGAATCAAGATAAGCTCTCTGCTCATGGATTTAGAGTCATGCAAGTTGGAACAAGAGTGGATTGAAAGGATGAGTGTCAAAACGGATTAGTGGATTGGGTTGCGTCGTTGGGGTTCGAATTGATAAGAATTCAGTTAATGCGAACACGTCAATTTAATAAACGGGTCAAAAAGACCAACTCAAACTCGACATGCTAATAATCCAAATTATCCAAACCTAACCCATTAACCCATTTTGATTTATTTTTTATCGTAATTGATACGTCATGCAAAAATTATCTTGATAAGGCACAAATCTCGAGGCAAAAATCAAGTTGGAAACTTCAAAAATTAAATCCGGGAGCATCTGAACTCCTATTTCAGCAAACTTACAGTCAAACTGAGTGTCTCGGAAATACGAACCCAACGAAACCAAATTTGACTCAATCCGAGCCCAAATGAGTCCAAATCAAGGACCCAAAACGCTGTTGGGAGGTTCAAACCGCAATTTGAGTTACCAAACGGTCTCTGATTTTAATGAGCTTATACTCGAATCGAGCGGCTCGACGAGACGAATCCAACGAGCTCAAGATCGCCAAATTCCGACATCATTAAGGCCTTCAAATGTCCAACGAACGGTGCATGATCAAAGAATTCAATATCGGCCGTCCATTCAAACCACTCTCAATTCGCCCCTGATCTCACACCTATTTACAAGCCATGTCACTCCAGAAAAATTATAAATAGAGCCCTCATTCTTCACAAGAGGACTTAAGTGAAGAGAGAGAAGAAGAAGGAAAGAAGAAGAAAAAGAGGAAAGGGAGAATCCTCGTGATGCTGAAATTCTTCCCAATTTGCAACAGAGTTCCCTCAAAACACTGAAACTCCGCCCAAGTGAAGCCGGAGTTCTCCTCTGCCACCAACAGACGTCGGACTTCTACCCGACGTCGGACCTTCACTATTCTCCAAGTTTCTACCCGACGCCGAATTTCTATCGGTTATCGGACTTCGTTGGACGTCTACGCAAAGATGGATTTCTTTCCATTGTTGGACTTCTACCTGACACGGTCCTCCTGACTTACGTCGTCCACCGACTACAAGCCCTCCGACCTCCGTTGCTCGCCGACTACAGTCCTCTCGACTAAACGAACATGTCAATAGTGATTCTTTGTATTCATATCATGTAATGTACTCTATAAAATGTACATCAAGCTAAGGCCTTCTCCCAAGGAAGGGCCTCATTTATAATCGACTGCAATACTAGTGGATTCATTCAAACTGCGCTAGACCCCGTGGTTTTTCCCCCTTTTTAGGGGGTTTCCACGTAAAAATCTTGGTGTCTCATAAATGCTAGACCCCCTCTCTTATCTGATTGCGTGCCAGATTTTTGTACAACACTACGACGATAAACTTTATATTTCTCTACCGCCGCGAATACCCCTGGACGCAAAAGTAATAATGATAAAATTTATTATTTTTGATAAAAAATAATACTTATAAATAAAAAATTTAAGAAAAAATATATTAAATATGTTATTTCTGAATCAAAATGTGGGTTGCAATCAACTCAAATTTGACCCATTTAAAAGCCCAATATAAATCCTGATTAATTAAATGGGTCAATCATAACCTAATTTTTTTTTTATAAAATTGATGAATCGAGTCATTTATTGGCACTACTAACTAGGACTGAGTATCACACTCCTTAAAGCTTATAGGATGGAGTTAGGAGAGCCTTTTATTTTTTAGCAATTAAATTGTTTTAGGTATTTTGAATATATATATATATATATATATAGAGAGAGATTTTAAATAGTAGAAATAGAAAAAGAATATATTAAATAGTTCGAACGTAAATCCCTATAAATGTTTTGCATCTTAAAAGCGAAATATGGTTAATTGATTAAACACCCCCCCTCCCCCCCCACCACGATTGTTTCTTCGTCTCGGTCTCTAAGCTTCGATCGATCCTTCGATAATAGCGATGATGGCGAGATCAACAACGAGGCCGTCGCGTTTCTCGAGTGGTACTCTAACCCTAACTCTGGAAGAGCCTTCTTCCTCTTCATCCCAGCCGCCGCCGCCTCAAACCCTTGTTCTTCGCCTCAAGCTACCAAAGAAGAAGGTTACGTGGAAGGAAGGCACGGTCGACAACGAGCTTCTCGGCAGGAAGAGTTCTAAGAAGTGCTGCATCTTCCATAAGCAAAAACCTTTTGATGAGGACGATAGCGAAGACGAGGATGGCCATGGGTCGAATTGCACAGATGGCCACAACCACGGAATAGAGGATTCTGCTCTTCGCGGGACGATGGAATCGATTTGAATTGATAGATGATGATATGATTGTATGTTTTTTCTCCCTTTGTGGCCTTATTGATTTATAGGATTTGGACTATTTCCTGTATGTGTGCGTTCTTGGTTAACTGGGATTATCTTCTTCAAGTACTTTTGTAATCAAGATACAAATTTATCAGTTGTTTTTGAAATTAATCCCTTTTCTTACTAATTGAGGATTGTTTGTGCTCAAAGTAATTATGTTCTCTGCGTCTTATATTTAGGACAAATTTTTTATTACCCAGTGTCTAAATGTTACATGTTTATATGATTCAGAGATTTTCTACCTATTAACTATTCTGATTTCCCCTGCTCTAAAGGGTGACCTAGCAGGTTAATTGGGAGAAAATCTTCCTTCTTGAGAGGTCCCTTCCAGCTTTCCCTGACCTTCATCTTGGGCAAGATTTGAAAACTACCACCCAAGTAGAGCCATGTCAACAATTGATTGTTTCAAAAAATTTAAAATCATTCAACACTATCATAAAAACATTCAGGAAAAAACAATAGACCTCATTTGTCCATTATAGTTGTTCGCTAAAAATAGAATAGCAATAAGTATTTGTATATGGAAGAAAAACAACAACAAAATTTTACATTAAAAGATGTACTCTTATATAAGCACAGAATCAATAGTTCTCCATGGAACAATTCTCAACAACAAAAGGTTTTGTATGGAGGGCTTAATACATTTATATGCAAAATAATTCCCATAACCCGTAGCTGAAAGTGCCTATCGACTACATTTTCTTATGAATCCTCTCCCCTTCTTGCCCTGTGCCGACATGTCTCCTGGAGAAGAGACCATATTAATGAGATAAATAACCCCCAAATACTCTCATCATATTAGAACTTAATATCAAAGACTAGCTTATAGTGTTAGAACGCATGCATTCATGTCTTGTATGTTATTCGTACCATGTTCATTGCATTCATTCATTTATCATTTCATCATTTTTTCAGTCATTTATTCTTTGTTGCTTTTGGTACTTCGGAGTGGAGCTCTGGGAGTCATTCCTCCCCATATTATCGATAACTTCCATCCATCAAGTTTGTTTCTGGATCAAACTTGTTGACCTTGGCCATTTCATATCTTAAGCACATTCATAGCATTACTGTGACATTTCATTTATTAATTCATAGAATTCCTTTCATTCATTTACATGCTCATAATATGATTTACAATGAAGATATCATGTAAATACAAGTGTTCAATGCAGTAATCATAGCACTTGTGGAGAAAAAAATGATTGTCACAAAGCATTTCAATGCATGCATCATAACAAAAATATTCAGTGTAATAATCATAACAAAGGAGTAGAACAATAGTTCATGATAAAGCATATCAAGAATAAAATTATGCTAATAGATTATGAAATTCAACCTTACTAGAAATTTGTTGATTAACTATATATGATATTAAAACCTCAGATCTCCTTGGTTGCTCTACAATTCTATCTGCTTCCTCTTGTGCAATAGGACTTAACAATCGAGTATCAACTTTCTTTACAAGGCTTCCCATGGCTGTTTATTGAGTCTTCTAGTAATAAGAATGGTATTTGATCAAATTTTTCTTAAATTATGTTCATGTATCTTCACATGGTACTGCTTATAGCTCTTTTTAGAAACTATACTAATCTCCTTCATAGTGTACTATGATAGTGGGGTCTATCACATGCCAATATGCCATTATTTAGGCATAAATTAGATCATACTTCTTTCAAAAGGCTTCTGTTCGGAGTTGATTGGAAATTTATGAATTGGAATGACCACTTCACTATGCAGGGAATTAGCGGTAAGATTTGAATTTGAGTTTATTAGATAACAACACGGAGCACTTGTTATGCATCAAAGTTATGAATTGGAGATGGCATATTTTATATATTGGACCATTACCGGTGGGATTGAGTGCATCCCTTCCTAGACTTTCTTATGATAGGAACCTCTTGCACCTTGCATGCCATTACGTAGGCATAAATTAGTTCTTACTTATTTTCAAAAGGATTCAGTGGTGTTTGGAGTTGATTGGAAGGAGGAATTGATAGGAAATATTTGAGTTCACAAGTAAGCCTAAGAGAGAAATCGACCAAACGATGCATGAATTTCAGAAGATTGGAGAGAAAACACAATGAAAATTTCTTCTGTTCAATCTACAACATACAAGTTTCTTCGTTTCGATTCGAGAAGAAACAACTCTTCAAATCTCTAGCAAAGCCTAGAGCTCAAAAGAACAAATCCTAGATCTTAAATCTTCTCCAAATTCCAAATGAAAAGCAAACCCTAACCAAAAAGACTAATTAAAGTCAAAGGACTCCTACAAAAAGACTAAACAACCCTTAATTCAAATTTCAAACTTTCCCTCCTAAACAGCGATTACATTAAGCAATTGGGCCCACTAGGGCATCTGCCCCCCTCCTCTTGGTTCCACCCCCCACCTGGCTTGGGCTGCCTGTTGTAGCAGAGAACCGGTCCAGGTTGGACCGGTTCAGCCGGCCCCTCCTGGGCTGGCCTAACAGAAATTAAGTTGATATAAATTCAACATGGAAAAGATTTGCTTAGTAATTTTAATCTTACTTGTTATATATTAATGAAATTACTTCAATTTGATACTAGAAATTTATTTAAACAATTATGCCATTGTATAGCGATGCAGGATGGCTACAGTTCTAGAATTAAGTTTTTTTAATGCAACTAATATGATACGCAGTAGGAATAAATGCAAAGAAAATAAGGATTTACAAACCATCAAATAATTCAACCATTTGCTTTCTTTAAATATAAATAAGTAATACTAGAATCAGAAGTAAATTGTTAGTGAAATGACAGAGAATTTTGAAGAGGAATTAGAAACATATAAAATTAGTGAGCAATGAATTTAATTTTCTTAAATTATATTTCCATTGCTTCTTTTTGATCAAAATCAAGAACTCTAAGCATGCTAATATCAAATTATGTAGATGAAACGGAACCTGGATTGAAAATGTCATAGTAAATTAGGTGCCATATTGGGCATTTGGGTTCTTACAGGTAAATTCAGTGTATCAGTAGCAGAACAAGCTATGGTTACTGCATTCACTTCTTTCTGGGTTTGTGAAGGTTTTCTGAGTTCCTGTTGATTTTTTTTGAAGATTATACCTTGCAAATATTTGACGACAAAATCTATGAACTTTTTATATATTTTTTTGAACGGAAATACCACTTAGGATAACGCTTGCCTAGCATTTTTTTCTTCTTAAAAATGCTTTGTTGATATTCGTTAGTAAAGTTTTACACAACCTGGGATTTGACTCACCTTTATCTTTCTTTTTTTTTTCTTTTAAAATTAAGGGACACTGCCCGGACTCAAACACACATCACACGCGCATGAACCCAAGACCTTTTAATTGATAGTCAAAGAACCCAACTAACAGATTAAGGAGAGATGCGTATTGTTATATTCTTTAATTTTTATTTCTATTGTGGTTAGGGGTAAAAGTGAGCCAAGCAAGCTAATAAGATGGTTTGAACTCAACTTGCTTGTGATTAGGAGTGCAAATAAGCCAAGTTGGCTTGAACTCGCGCGTTGAGCTTATCGAGGTTTGAGCTCGAGCTCTGCCAGAAGTTTTTTAGCTCGTTGGATCATCGAGCTCGAGTTCAATCTAGATGATGCTCAGCTCTAGTGTGGAGGCGGGGACGGGCTCGAACATGGAAGATAGAACTATGAGGTGGCCCGTAGACATGAAATCGGTATGCTTGCATGTTGGCTCGCAAGCCAACATCCACTGCTGCAAGCTGAGCTACAGCTCCCCTTTTGAGCTCGAATCGAGTTTGAGCTCGGGATTTAGCTCGCGAGTCGAGCTCAAGTTAGGCTTTACTTAAGCTCGACTCGACTCGTTTGCACCCCAGCTGATGACTTTGTGTGTCAAGTTTATGGAGCATGAGCTCAAGCATAAATTTGAGCTCATATAATAAACGAGCTTGAGTGGCTTGTCAAACTGACTATATTAATCTTAATTAATGCATTAATATTTGCATTGTCTTAATTAATTATATTTTGTTTAGATTCAAAATAATAAATCGGGCTTCAAAACAAATCAATTTTGATCTTTCTTATCAAGTTTGAGCATTCAAGTTGACCTTAAACCTCATATTCTTATGTGGACCGAGCTAATTAAACAAACTTAAGCTCGACTAAACAAAAAATTCGACTTGACTTGATTTGTAATATATATTTTAATTAATTAATTTCATATTATATTTAACTTAAAATAATTGTAATCTTTTGAGGTTCATCCTGATATCATTTATATATATTTCTATTCATTGACTTAAAAAATTATGAAAGTTTAGAATATTCTTAAATAGCAAGAATTTAAAAATTAATGTCATTTTGATATCAACGCCTTAACCTTTTTTTTATATAAAAAAATGAGACTAAATAGCAAAATAAACAAATGGTTAAATATTTTCTAATAAAATGACAGGAAAACATCCAAATTTACCAAATATATCTTTCGATAAAAATTTATTAACATCTTAAATTATTTATTATCAAGAACATGAATTATTGCTCTGTATTTAATAATCCTGAAGGATAAATTCGAATCGCACATATCATGAAAATTAGATAATTGACAACCTAGCCAAAAAAATAAAATCATTTTTTGGTTAAAAAATAAATAATAAAAAAAATACAACTTAAACCTTGGTGGAGGATAAGTAAGCTAAATTTATTATAAAAAATGTAAAATAAACAATTAAGACTTCATTTGGGACAGCTTTTTTATTGCTTTGTCAAACAATTTTTTAGATCAAAAATTTTTATATTAAAAAGTTACATTAAAAATCAATTAAAAAGACATCCCAAATGAAACTTAATGACTATTTTCTTACTGCTTCTCAAAGCAGATTTCTACTACAAAATTTTAATTTTTGTACTAAAAAACTGCTTTAAAAAACAGTAATAAAAGATCCCAAACGAAATCTTAAATGGGGCAGCATAACCATAGAAGCTTTCTTACTTATAATATGGAATTTTTCTTTTATACTAAAAAATTGCTTTAAGAAGCAGTAAAAAAGCCGTCCCAAACAATGCCTCAGCAATCACTTAATCTCCATACCAAGGAAATATCCCATTCAATTTCAATGTTATTACTATGTTAACAAAAGGAAAATTCAAGCATGGTTTACCAGGCGGGGTAGTGCTCTCCAGCCAATATCTCTTCGGAAGAATCCTTGAGGCCAGTCAATTGCTTCCACAGCATCATAAGCTCTTTTCCTTGCTTCTTCTATATCCTTCCCCTTAGCTGTGATGCCAAGCACACGGCCGCCGACTGCGATGAAATTGCCACCGGAATCGAGTGCAGTTCCGGCGTGAAACACCTTCACCGTAGAAGAAACACGCTCTGCTTCTTCAAGATTTCTTATGATTGTTCCCTTCTTGTAATCCTCTGGATATCCTTCACTTGCCATTACAACCACCATTGCTGTTTCTGGGGACCAATGCAATGAAGCATTGCTCAAATCTCCTCTGCTGGCAGCAAGCAACAATTGTGCCAAATCTGACTCGAGTCTCATCATCAGAACCTGAACACAGAAAATGTTATGAGGACATTCATATTAATTTTGATGAAGAAGAAAATTGAAATGATGGTATGATACAAGTTTGGGTTAGGTATCGGTGTAAGATTCGAGAGTTCTCAAATTCTTACAAGTGTTAGCTAGCATAATCATGTGCCCACTACCACTGCCTCCTGACAGTTACTGATACCACTTCCTCTGGCACAGACAAGGACCAGTAACAGCTCACCTGCACATCTCCTCCTCTCTATATAGCATTTCACTGTAGCAAAACATTTATTCTTCTTCTTCTACTCTAATGAAGAATACGAATGAGCTTGGTCCTTCATCCCTGTTATTCTTTCTGCTCTAATTCTTTCATTGCAGGAGCTCGTTTATGGTATCAGAGCTGACCAGCCTAACGGCAACAGATCAAAATGGCGGAACCTGAAGCTTCCAGTACTCAGTCAGTTCAGCCGCAGCAAGTCAACTCCCTGTCGGCAGCCATGGCCGACTTCACCATTCCAGCTCCTCTAAAATTTCTCATGTCCAACATAAAGCACATTGTGACCACTCAATTAACCAACGACAACTACGCCATTTGGAAGGTTCAAACCATCAAGCTATTCTCCGCAAATGGATTCGATGGATACCTCACCGGAAGCCAGCAACCTCCCTCCGAATCTAGTCCTGACTATCGGCTTTGGAAACTAGTAGATCAAAATCTAGTCTCCGCTCTATATTCTACCATCTCTCCGACAATACTACCATACATTCTTCACCTATCCTCCGCTCAAGAGATCTGGAAAACACTGGAATGTCGCCTGCAACCAACCAATAGATCCAGAGTGATTCAGCTTAAGAACACTCTGCACAATGTGAGTATGGGAGACAGCTCTATGCAGGCCTATCTGGCTCAAATCAAAGGACTGGTAGACAGTATCGCCGCCGCCGGGTCTCAAGTAGACACTGAGGACATCATACATTACATCTTGAATGGCTTACCCGCTGCTTATAACTCATTCTGCACATCTATTCGCACATGTCAAACCTCAATCAGTCTGGAGGTGTTATACTCACTTCTATGTAGTGAGGAAATAAACATCCAAAATCAGTTACTTAAAGAGTCCTCACCAGCCAAAGACGGATCATCTTTCTACAGCAACGTTCGCTCATCCCGCGGAAAAGGAAACCCCTCTCCACCCTCTCGCTCAAACAGGGGCCGCGGCTCTCCATCTCGCAACCTCAACAGTAACACCACACCTCACCAACAGCGACCCATATGCCAAATCTGCAACAAACCAGGCCACATTGCTGCACAATGTTGGCACCGTAGCAATCTCAGCTACACTCCAGGTCCTCCACGAGCAATGCTGACTCATAATCCCAGCGTCCCCTCATCGGACTGGATCCTTGACACAGGAGCAACGTCGCACCTCACGTCCGAAGCGAGCAATCTTCAACAACCGGTTCCCTATCAAGGCACTGACGCGATATCCATCGCAAATGGCAGCACCATCCCTATTCAATCCTCTGGTGACGATATCCTTCCTCTTCCTAACTCCAACCGTAAGTTACATCTTCGAAATCTACTTTACGCCCCACTGCTCTCCCATAATCTTATCTCTATTCACAAACTTACCGCTGATAACAACTGCTCCATTCTTTTTCATGCCACTGGCTTCACCATTACGGATCTGCAGGATCGTCAAATCCTCCTCCATGGTAGATGTCGCGATGGTCTCTACTCCATCTCCACAACCTCCGCCAACCATCTTCAACAAGCTCTCCATTCTCGATCCAGCTCTGCTTCCCGCTGGCACGATCGTCTCGGCCATCCACATCAACTCGCTCTTCGCACTTTGGCAGCCGTAGATAGTAGCATTAGTTATTCTCCTAAACATCACGTATACAAATTTTGTAATATGGCTAAAAGCCATAAACTACCCTTTCCCCAAAACACTACGCATGTATCTTCACCATTTCAGATTATACACAGTGATGTATGGGGTCCTGCACCCGTAACTTCTCTTAATGGATATCGTTATTACATTATCTTCATAGAAGATTGTACCAGGTTCTGTTGGCTCTATCCAATGACAACTAAAGCCGAATCATACAGTAAATTTAATCAATTCTATAATTCAATTAACAATCAATTCTCCACTAACATCCAAATACTTCGGTCGGACGCGGGAGGAGAATATACCAGCAATCAATTCAAACACTTCCTCCTCAGCAAAGGCATAGCTCAACAATTCAGCTGCCCATACTCCCGAACAGAACGGTCTGGCTGAGCGAAAACATCGCCACCTCCTTGACACAGTCCGCACCCTTCTACTCGCAGCCATTCTACCCCAAAGCTTCTGGGCAGATGCACTTCTTACAGCTAACTATCTCATCAATCGCTTACCAACTAAAGCTCTTGTAAAACCCTTAAAAAGCTGATTTTTTTTTAGTGCAGTTCGTCTGTACGAACTGGATTTAGTACTGGACGAACTGAAGAAATTTGTGAAGAAATCTGTCATTTTCGTCTGTACGAACCTGGAGCGTCGGGACGATCCGTCTGTACGAAATCTGTCCAGAGAGCAAGTCGTCCGGGACGATCAGTGTTGATAAATATCGGATTCGAGATATTTTGGATCATTTGAAGAGAGAGAAAGAGAAGGCAGGAGAGAGAAAGAGAAGGAAGAGGAGAGGAAAGCTTGGTTTTGGAGCCCGCGGAGCGCTTTTCGTCCGACGACGCTGTTAGAAGATTTGTTTGTCTCGCTGTAAGGACTCCGAATCCTATTTCTGTTTTCAGAGATACTGATTTTTGATCGAGTTGTGCACTGTTTTGTGTTTTCGTAGTCGAATTTTTGGACCGGTTTTATATTGAGACAACTTTAACCGCACAACTTTTAGAATGTTATAGATATGAATATTGTACACGATTTGAATATTTTCTACGATGATTTTACCGGTCGGAATTGGTTCTACGCGATTTTAATTGAATAGAAAAATATCAGGATGTTATTTGATATGGATTCAGTAGAACAATAGCCTTATATTGATGTTGTGAACGTTCTGTGTGAATTTGGAAATTTGTGCTTTGTGCAGGATTTTTGTGTAAATTTGATAGACTGCCGTTACTCTGCCGAATTTTCGTAGGATTTCTGATTTGTCTGAGATTGATAGATTGAATAGATATGAATGTGAATATTGATATGATTGCTTTAATATTGACTATTGAATTGATTATTGATTGATTATTGATACTGGAACACAAGTGGAACCTGGTTGAACGTTGGTTGGAGATTGAATTGACCTGTACAGGATGGTGGGCCGACGGGCTTTCCTTTAAACATCGATTATGGATATATGGATGGGAGTCATAAGGAGTTCTTATAGATATGCCGACGGGCGGCCGACGGGCAATAGAGTGACGACTCTTTTTATTGAAACCAACGTATGGATATCTACAACAGCAATATGGATTCTACAACAGCAACATAGCCAGTTGATTGTACTTGTCCAGTATATAGTATTGAATTGCATGTTTACTGTATTGATTTATGGATTCATTGTTTTATAGATTCCTGCTTTATCGACTTTGATTGGATTTACTAGATCGTACGATTTCATTGATTTCACTGATTGATTGCTGTGCATCGACATTGAGCATTGATATAGAAATGGATGGATATAGATATTGCATTGATAGCATGGACATGAATAGTATAGAATCATTGACACTGTTGCCTATAGATTCATTGATTTCTGCTTATAGATTCATTGTTACTACTGCCTATGGATTTATTGATCTTGCATATAGATTCACTGTTGTTACTGTTTCTGCTGCTTTGATTTCAGTTATAGGTATTAGGTGACCTGCTGGGCTTTGTAAAGCTCATTATATGTGGTTGACATTTTCAGGTCAGGGTAAGGGAGCAGAAGATAGAGATTGATCCGGATCTACAGGTTTTAGTTCTTTTGATGATAGTGATTCTTTTGTACTCAGGACATGATAGATTTATGTACTTGTGGGTATAGTGTAGTTCCTAAGTATTGTATATGAACTTTTGAGATATGAATCGACTTGTTATTGATGCTTTTAAATGTTATAGATTTTTGTTAGACTGTTTGATTGAAGGTTATAGATAGCTCTGGTAAATGGCTTTGATGAATTGATTGATATTCTTTCCAAGTTAGATCTTGGGGCGTGACAGCTCTAAATCTCCGCATTCCATTCCAGGTTCTACATAACACACTTCCATCCTATTCTCATCTGCGTACCTTTGGGTGTTTGTGCTTCCCCTGGCTGAAGCATCATGCTCCAAACAAACTTTCCTCTCGATCTTCCGAATGCATCTTTCTTGGTTATTCTCCCTCCCATAAAGGCTATCGCTGTTACAACATGGCTACAAACAAGATACTAATCTCACGCCACGTCATCTTTCATGAGTCCATATTTCCATACTCTGCTTCAGCAACAACAGCTACCTCAAACTCCGACTCATCCACCTCTTCTCCACTCACACTTTTACCCACCTCAATACCAACTACCCTCCCCAACCACTCCCACACTAATTCCTCCACGGTTAATCCAGCATCTCTCTCACCTTCCGACTCTCAAACCAACTCCAACACAATCCTCGACTCCACATCCAACAGCGCCTCTCCTCACCATACCTCACCTCATCCCGCACCCATCACCCAGCCCACTCATCCAATAAAGACACGGCTGAAATCTGGCATAATTAAGCCAAAACACATTCTCGATCTTCTCACAGTCAATTCCGATCCATCTACCCCTACTTCATTCACTCAAGCATCCAAACTACCTTCCTGGCGTGCTGCCATGTCCGATGAATTTCACGCGTTACAACGACAAGGAACTTGGTCGCTTGTACCTGCTCCTTCCACCCACTCAATCTTGGGGTGCAAATGGACCTACCGTCTTAAACGGGACGCCACTGGATCTATTACGCGGTATAAAGCCCGGTTGGTTGCCCAAGGCTTTAATCAGCAACAAGGCCTTGACTATCATGAAACCTTCAGTCCAGTTGCGAAGCTTCCCACAATCAGAATACTTCTGACCATTGCTATACAGCGACATTGGTCCTTACTACAGCTTGATGTCACCAATGCGTTTCTTCATGGAGATCTTGAGGAGGACGTCTACATGAGTCAGCCACAGGAGTTTGTTGATCCCCAACTTCCGACTCATGTCTGTAAGCTGCACAAGTCCATCTACGGTTTGAAACAATCCCCGCGCCAATGGTACATAAAGCTTACTCAGCATCTCACAGGAACCAGCTTTCAATTTAGTAGAGCCGACCCCTCCCTGCTCATGTCCAAGCAGGGCACAGCTCAGATATACATCCTCATTTACGTAGATGACATGCTTATCACCGGCAATGATGAATCATCCATACAGCAAATCCTGCTCAGTCTCCGCCAAGCCTTCTCCCTTAAGGATCCAACTCCAATTTCATTATTCCTTGGCATCCGTATTTCTCACACCCCTCAGGGTCTATTCCTAGATCAGCAACAGTATGCAACCGACATCCTCAAATCTGCTGGGTTTCTCCATTGCAAACCACTTCCTACTCCTATCACTCCGAGATCCACTCATTCCAGTGTACCGGACTCTACTCTGCTTCACCCACCAAATTATCGAAGCATCGTCGGATCTCTGCAGTACTTGACCATAACAAGACCGGACCTTGCCTTTGCAACAAATCAATTATGCCAGCACATGCATAATCCTCAACCAACGCATGTTCATGCTCTCAAGCGTGTGCTTCGTTACCTACAGGGCACTTTAAACTACGGTCTCCCGCTCTGCCGTGGTGAACTCACACTTCAATCATTCGCAGATGCTGACTGGGCATCGGACTCGACCGACCACAAATCTGTCTCCGGCTTCTGTACATTTCTGGGTAAGAACTTGATTTCCTGGTCAGTCAAGAAACAAATTACGGTGGCTAAGTCCTCCACTGAGGCGGAATACCGCGCATTAGCTGCAGCTACCTCTGATGTTATTTGGCTCCGTCGACTACTCACCGATTTCGACGCTACTCCAAGCAAGCCAACCACCATATTCTGCGACAATGTCTCTGCTCTCGCATTAGCAATTAACCCTGTGTTTCATGCCAGAACGAAACACATTGAAATCGACTATCATTTTATCAGCCATCATATTCAGCACAAAGAGATCTCAGTTCAGCACATTCATTCTATTGACCAACCAGCTGACATCCTCACCAAAAGTCTGCCCGTTACCAGGTTTCAACAATTGAGATCCAAACTCACCATCCATCCAAATGATAGTAAGTTTGAGGGGGCCTGTTAGCCAGCATAATCATATGCCCACTACCACTGCCTCCTGACAGTTACCGATACCACTTCCTCTGGCACAGACAAGGACCAGTAACAGCTCACCTGCACATCTCCTCCTCTCTATATAGCATTTCACTGTAGCAAAACATTTATTCTTCTTCTTCTACTCTAATGAAGAATACGAATGAGCTTGGTCCTTCATCCCTGTTATTCTTTCTGCTCTAATTCTTTCATTGCAGGAGCTCGTTTAACAAGAACTTAATCACGTGTAAGATTTAAGTTTTAAAATTCTTACAAGAACTTTATTTAAGATTAAGCTCTCTAGATTTTACAAGAACTTGCAACATGCATTATGAGTTCTCTAACTCTTGCAAGAACTTGCATCATAAATTATATAAAAGAAATCGAAACGAAAAACATGAAGTTACATAAATCTTAAATCCATAAGATCTTAAACAAGATGATTTTCACAAGATTTTAATTGGAAAAAAATATACCCTGATTCATGTTGAATTCGTTGAATTTCCTCCCTTTTCCCTTCGCTTTTTTCTTTCATGAGTTAACTCTATACGGAACAAACTAACTCCTCATAATGAGATAGAGAAAGAGAGAGGACCGATGGTTATTTCCTACGGTTTAGTTATAATAACAACTCATAAGAGTTATTTGATCAAACGGTTCATAAACGATTAATCAAATTATATCTTCTTGATCAATAGGATTTAAACATAAATAATTAAATTTCAATAATTCAAATATAGGGCCACTTAATGGTTTATATAATTAAATATATATACTTAAATAATTATTGCGAGGTCTCGCATAATTATTATATTTAATTATTCTAACAATCAGCTTTAAAAATTAGCTTGGAAAACCAGAATCTGGAAACTCACATGAATCTGCAGATAAGATTGGAACCTAGAGAACTAGGAATCATCATTTCTTACCACTGAAATGGCAGATTTAGGTTTGGCGTGAAATGAAGAAATGAAAAGAAAAACAACTACTTTTTCTTAAGAATAAAAATATAATCCAAAAATAATAATAATAATAAAATAAAATAAACTGTGGTTGGTGCCACTTCACTGATCATGTAACAACTACATAGACATCTTTTAGTTTTACGAAAATCTCCTTATAACACACGTAACAACTATATGGTTTTATTTGATTTCAGTTTTTTAGAAAAAAATTGTTTTAGACGATCTTTAAATTATTTTGGCGTGATTTTCTATTTCCATCAACAAGAGATGACCTTTTGTCTAAACTTGGGTTGGTTAACTATAAATTTTGATTTTTGGTGCATCACATCCTAAATCTACATTAGGGAAATCCTAAATCCTCTGATGCATGCCCTGCAACAAATTTATTTTGGCACCCACCATTTTATTTAGCCCTAAAACTAAAGATCACACCATTGAAAGTGATTTACAATATGAAAAATTGTTATACGGAACAGGTTTCTGCTTGTTTAGGCGGAACAGGTTTCCGTCAGTTTAATTGGGGTGCGGCCCATCAATCCAGCAGCGATTAAGAGATAATTAAAGAGGGGATTAGGAGGAAAATTCAAATTTGGAGGGTTGTTTTGGCACTAACTAGATTTTGTATGCTTTAAATATATTATTTACTCTGGGGGTTAGGAGATATATGGTGTTTGATGAAATTGGGAGAGTTTTTAGATTTTGTTTGGGCTCTACCTGCTGGCTAGAGATTGGGAGAGCTTGATCCTCCTCTCCAATTGAGGATCCAATTGTATCTTGTTATTTTCTTTAAATGAAAAAACCAAAACTATAAGGTGTTTTGTTCAGCACTAAAAAAGCGATGCAACTATGCTCTAAAAATGCACGATACCAACCTGGCATTCTGGATCTCCAAATCGCACATTATACTCAATAAGCTTAGGTAGCCCAGATTTCTTCTCTATCATCAGACCTGCATATAGAACACCTACAAATTTACGGCCTTCAGCAGCCATTCCCTTGACTGTAGGAAATATTATTGATTCCATGATCAAAGACTGGAGTTCTTCTGTCAGCACAGGAGCAGGAGAATAAGCACCCATGCCTCCTGTATTTGGACCAGTATCGCCATCGCCAACTCTTTTATGATCCTGGGCAGACTCGAGAGGTAGGGCATTATCTCCATCCACTATAGCAAAGAATGAAGCTTCTTCACCCTCAAGATATTCCTCAATTATAACTCGCGAACCAGCAGAGCCAAAAAGGTCCTTCACCAACATCAAGTCAACGGCTTCAAAAGCCTCCTCCAAAGTCATGGCAACAATAACTCCCTTCCCTGCAGCCAATCCATCTGCCTTGATTACAATAGGAGCTCCTTGTTCCTTAACATATTGCTTTGCCTCTGATGGATTGGTAAAAGTTCGATACTGCATAAATTAATGATTTGCACCACCAAAGAAGAAGGTAAGTTGATTTTGAAAAGGAAATTAATCAAAAGGAATATCCTTTCGATCCTTTTAATTTTCCCACCCCCAGGAGCAACTCACTAAGAGTAAAAAATTTTAATTCAAATGCTAAGTTGATATAAATCAAATGAAAAAAATGTTATTAATTTCTGCTACAAAAAAATGATGTCGTGATGGTAATGAAATAATAACGAATTCAAGAAATAGCTGTTAAATTTCAAATGGACAGCAATCCTTTGGATTAAGAGAAAACTGTCCATAAATTTGTTTTAACTCTGTAATCGTCCACTTTGAAAGTTTATTCTTAACCAATATTTCGGAATTGAAAGGCAAAGAATAGCACTGCAGATGATAAACTAAAAAACACATATCAAAATTATAAACTTGCCTTTGCAGTGGGAATGCCATACTTATCACACAGTTTTTTCATGAAATCCTTAGAACCTTCCAGCACTGCAGCCTCTGATGATGGCCCAAACGTGGGAATCCCCGTCTTAACAAGATCATTAGCAAGGCCAGCAACCAGAGGGCCTTCAGGGCCAATTACCACCAACCCTACGCCCCATAATCGACAAAAAGATAGAACATCAGCACTATCAGAAATATTCAAATCTGGTATGCAAGTTGCATCCCCAGAATGAGCAATTCCAGCATTTCCTGGAGCGCAAAAAACTCTAGCGCAAGAGGGAGAACGCTGTAAAGAATAGCAAAGTGAATGTTCCCTTCCACCTCCTCCAATAACTAGTGCCACAACCTTATCTTCTGCAATAAGAAATATGACATGTCAGATACAAGCTCCCCCACCATAGAAGAAAAAAATAAAGTAGTTTGCTGAAACTAAAATACTGGTTTGTATATCATTTAAGGATTGCTCTGGTAATTTACTTCCTGCTCATAAGGGTGCTAGATGTGAAAACCCTTAAGTAAAAGAAAGCTATACTCTAAACATCTAGGCACCTTTTGATGAAATTTTTAGAATTTCCGTAAGAAACTCTGCAGTTAGGCGTGCTTACCCCAGAATAATTATGGGATGGGTGACATACGGGGAAGTTACACCAACAGAGCAAAACCGTGAGGCTCTTAGGCCAAAGCGGACAATATCTCGATAGTTAAGAGTTTTGGCTGATACAATAGAACATAGGGAAGAAAAATGGGGTAAATGCAGGACTCAGCAGCATGCAATCAATCATATATCATAGTTTTAATTGCTAATTCATACCGACTATGGTAGCAATATCTACAATTGAAACCTGCTAATAAAGACGTGGCATGCTCAAGGGTGAGAAACAAAAGAACTCAGGCATATATATCATTTTAAGATATTTTAAAATGTGCTGAGATCTCAAGGATGCAAGGCAATGTACACATAAATCCCAATCCCTTGAACGCCTAAGAAACTCATTAATACTGTTAACAAACATTGTCAAATTACTGATTTCAAACCCTTATCAAACATAATATCATGAAATCACGTCTTCATAGAAAATTTTGAATATCAGAGTACTTAACAAGTTGCCACATAAAAATAGGATTCACAACAAAAAAAGTCCATACCATAATCTGCTACATGACATTAACTTCTAAAGAGATATTATGCAAAACATTCCGTGTAATTAAATGTATGCAGGACTCAAGTGAAAAAAAAAAAAAAAAAACAGGATATTTGTTCGTTTCCAACATTAATATCAAAACCAATAGGCAAACAGCATGTCGGGCAATAATTATTTATTTTGTTGGTTGCTATATGTAGCAATTGTGTGGTTATAAATTAATTATAGAAACCTAAGATATTTTTTCTAAGCTAAGCTTAGGGGTTGTTTGGTAGCACGATTTAGACTGCATTTGAGCGAAATCCAGCCAAACGGCCTAAAATGCAAAACCAAATCTCACGGCAAATGAAAGCTGCCGTGGATGGAAAATCCCCTTTTCATGCTTAATCCCGGATTTCTGAAATCCTGTTTTTTGCCGGATTTACGAAATCCATTGGCTCGAATGCTTGTTAAATCCGCTCTACAGTGGGATTTAATAGGATTTATTATGAAAGTTAACAAACAATTTTCAGATTTAGGCCCCTCAGGATTTCCAAAATCCAGGTTTAGAGGATTTACGAAATCCTACTTAAATCAAATTCTGAGTGCTACCAAACAGTCCCTTAGATTATATAGTATTTCAGCACTTGCTTTGGAGAATGGTATGAACATTCTGATAGATTACGGCATAAAAAAGTTGTGAGGTCTGAAAAATCATAGTGGGGATGTAGGGAGGGAGAAGAGTGCATGGGAGGAGGGAGGGAGGGAGGGTGCGAGTAATGATTTCTCACCATAAGCCTCATTGTTACCATTGCCTTGGAGGTTGCTTTGATCAAAACCAGTATTGGAGTTATTGGAAACCTGTGGAATGAATTTGAAAGAAGAGAACTGGTCCGGCACATTAACACTTGAAGACCAGAGAGCACCGTGGAACTTCGAAACAGAAACTGAAAATTTGATGTCTCGTTGGAGACAATTCTTGAAATTTGTACTTCTGCGACCTGCCAATCTTATGCAGCCCCCGAGATAGGCAGAAGTACAACTCATAGCAGCTTATGGATATCAAAAGTAATGGCACCTAAAAAGTGCAGAGTTTTATGTCAAATGACAGCTCAAAATGTATCCAAATTCCAAACGAATATTTAATCATTTTCACTAAACACCACACCCAACACGTAAGTTATTTCTGATATAAACGCAGATTTTTGCATTCTTAGGGGCTGTTTGGTATGGGATTTATCATTTGGCATACCAATTTTCAGGATTTAACACATTTCAAATTTACTAAATCCGGATTAACAGCATTTACTAAATCCCACTTGTTGCCTAAGTGGCTGCTTGGATACAGGATTTAATGTAGGATTTGAGAAACGCAAAAAATGGATACTTTTTTAAATCTCGGGCGAATTAAATCATCCGTTCTCCTTTTTTTGCCGAAAAGCCCGGATTTACTAAATCCGGGAGTTCAACGGATTTAAGGAATTCAGGGGACATGAAGCGCGGGAGAAAGCTTCTACAAAGACATACTCTTTTGTCCGATTAAGCTGGACGGGCAGTCCGGAAGCAGTAACGAGAATTTCAGCTAACACTCTACTTCACGCGAAGCCGAAGCAGCAAACCCAAGCTTCAGAATTTCAGCAAGTTTGTCAAGCAATCTTCCTCGCTGTAGCCGTCGTTCTCCTCGAAAAGAAAACCTAACCTAACGAGTAAAACTCGAACTCGCACGACGCTGGAAGAAAGAAATGGCGATGAGAAAAGCGCAGTGTAGGCAGGCAAAATTAGCCAGATAAATAATTATTTAATTCTTCCAATAAGGTACCAATAAATAATCTTACCGGTCAATTGACACAATTATATTCAAATCCAATCCGATACATTCGAATTCAGATTAATCAATTTAATAAATGGAACAGATTGGATTTTAAATTTGATTTTAAAGAGACAGATTCGGGTTGATCCATAAATTTATTTTTTAACCGAAAATAATGTGTTTAATATACTTTTTCTTTAATTCTTTTTTATATATGGATATAATCTTAATAAACTTTGTAATTAATAAATCTTTAAAAATTTAAAATTAAAATATGTTAATGGGTCATATTTTAGTCACCCGTGCTGATATCAGGTTAAATTTGAGTTTATATTTTTATTCGTTTATTAAACTGATGAAAATTTGTCTTGATTGGATTCGAGATAGATCTATTTCAGGTCAGACTCGAATCCGTGAACATATTTTGACACTCCTAACATGAGTATAACTAAATAATTAGTTAGTAATAGAATATTTAAATAATTAGTTATATAATTAATATTATAATTTATAATTATAAATTATTATAATATTATATAAATAATTAATTAGATTATTAATGGTATAAATAATAATTAAATAGTTAGTTGACAAAAGAATACTTAAATAATTAATTAGATAATTTTGTGTTAATAATTAAAATTTTATAAAATAATACATAATTAATTATTTTGTAGTGTAAACAAAAATTAAACAATTAGTTAATAAAATTATACATAGGGGCTCTTTTTTGGAATACTTTAGTGTAAAATATTGCAAAAGTACGGGTTTTAACAATTTTGATGTTTGGTTGGATGAAAAATGAATTCAAAGTAAAAATAATGTAAACCATTTTAGTTTATTTTTTAGGTAAAACGAACTCCTCATTTTTTTAGCTAGAATGTTTTAGAGCGCAAGCAAGCTCGCTTGATCGCCGTCGATTATCGTTGATCACCACCGCGGATCACCTCCACCCGCGTCCGACCACATCCACCTGCCTTAGGCCACCATCGGCGGCCACAGCCCTCTGACCACCACGATCGCCGTCTGTCGGCCACTATCATCGTCACCCTCCGTCCACCACCCTCGTCACCTCTAGCCACCATTGTCTTCATTGTCACCTGCCATCAATCGTCATTTCTAAAATTTATATTACATTCATTTTATTTCAAATCAAACTTAAACCAAAAAAAAAAAAATCACCATAATTTACTTCACACTCATCTAGGTGTGTCCATATTTTGACCAAACTTGAAAATTTTGAGTTCGGATTGATCCTTTTGGAAAATGAGTCTAATTCGGGTTGCAAATTCAATCATAGTTGAAAATTTGGGTCAGGTTCGGATCCGAGTCAATCCAAAAACCCGAAATTAACCCATCTGACCTGATTCACGCACTCCTAGCGCCTACACCCCGTGCTCGCGGCCTTGCGCCCACTATTGCGCCCACACTCATGCCAGCTCCCACACCCCTGCTAGCGCTCACACCCGCAGTCCGGCAAAACTGCACCCTTGCTTGCGTCATTCCAGTAGCACATGCGTTCCTCATGCTTGCGAGCCTCGCCGACTAGCCCTCGCATGCTTTCCCCTACCTCCCTCTGATCGCTACCTACCCTCGTGGCCCCTGGGCTCGCCCACTAGCGCAGTCGCACCTCGTGGTCTCATGTTTAGTGGGTCAGGTTGGGTGAACCCCGGGTCTACCCCGGATCGGGTTCAAGTCCAAATATTTGACCCATTTTGCAATTCGGTTCGGACTTAGCTCAACTGAATTGGACTTAGGTAACACATTTGACACGCCTATAGTCATCCAAACAATCTCAAAGTATTTATTTTACATTGCATTTTTCTTTTACAATGCATTCCTTTTTTAGGCAACTAAATACCCCCTTAAATTATTAATTAGATATTTATTATTCTAGTTAGTAATTAAGTACTAACTAAAATAGCATCTAACAAAGTAATTTAATAATTCATAGTGTAACTAGTAATTAAATTATTTGATAATTATTACGTGTTGAAAATTTTGAGTCTATAGAGTATATACTTTACGTATCTACATTGTACAAAAATTTAACACACATAGATAAAAGTAAAAAGATAAAAAAATTTTACATGAAAAACTAAGAAAGGAAAAAAATTTACAGCGCATAGCCCAATTGAAAATCAATTATATATCACAAGATAAAAGAATCATTCTTCTCATAATTGAAGGAGAGGAATATTTGATAATAAGATGTCTGATTTTTCTTATGAGGTTTAATAAAAAACATGTGTTTATAAATGGACAATTACCTCCCAATAGCAGTGCTTGATTTCTCAAATAGAGATTATAGAAAAATGGTGTGCACAATGAGATAGCTATAACCAACATCAGAGCTAAATTTTATCAGAATTCTAGAGATAATGGTGATTACTGATGGTGATCGTCAACGGTGACACTGTTTGTCACCGGCATAGCTTGAAAATATAAGAAGGCTATCTAGTTCTCTCTTTTCTTGAACCATATTCCAAAATACTATATTGTATGGTCTATATTGACTCCATTGATCATGAAACATTTGTTCAATATTTAAGTGCCTTCATATTGCTAGAATTAAGTGTCTTTAGGCTCATTGTATTTATCTTATTGGATTTGTTTCGTCGCGTTGCTCGATTAGATTATAACCACATCAAATTTAAAGTTTAGATGAAAATAATTTTAATTTCAAAAGTTTCTAATTCAAAAAGAGTGCCTAGATTCGTGCAGATCTTAATTATAAGTATTGCATCAATTTTTATACTAAAGTTAGGATTTATAGTTGGTGTTGATGATGTTCATCAAACTTATGGGTGATGATATGCATTGATATTGTTGGCCATGATAGGTGATGAAGTCAATGGGCTTCGGAGTAGGGGAGGATTGTAGTAAGACGATGATGGTCATATGATTATATTCGAGTAATTGTGATTAGAAGATCATAATGCGACAATGATGATTGGAGGATCGTAATTAGGTGATGGTGTTCAGAGAATCGTAGCCATACAACAAGGACCAGAGGAATGTAGTTGGGCAACTATACAATTCAAATGAGCCCAAAAATCATTTCATTCAAACTTAGTAATGAGCTTAAATATCAAAAGAATGATATATGATCAAGATAATCAATATATTTTTTTTAGTGTTATAAATTTTAGTTACATTTATACAAAGACCCAATCTAATATGACCCGCAGATAAAACATGTTATACCATGTTGAATTGGGATAGATCAGTCCAAGATCTAAGTTTCAGGGAATTCTTATATAGATTTTTTTATTTGAAATTTAAAATAAATAACAAAGCTCTAATTTAACTTCCAATAAGCAAAAAATAAACTCATCAACATGTTTTTATTCTTTTTATTCACCATTAAAATGTATACAATATTTACACTATACATATCACTCACTAGGATCTAAAGTAGAAGAAATTTATCTCTTTTTCTTTTATTCATTAATCATTATCTTTATAATTTGATTAATAACTAATATTAATTTATTACCAAATCATCACAAATTACCAAAGCTTATTAATTGCATCCGAAAAAATACAAATAAATATAAATAACAAAACTAAATTTTATTACTATAGTCAATATTTATATTCTACCATAAAGTTCAAAATCTCAAAATAATAGGTTCAATATCCACTACAGGATATAAAATAATACATATAAATGAATGAAATTAAAATAAAACTAAATTTATCACTACTGCTAAGCCTTAATTCATAGTTTCCTTACCATTATCTAAATCATATAAGAAATATATAATGCATTTAATGCAAGACAAAAGAATAAATATGTATCAGTAAATTTCAGTCCATATCAATTAATAATCAATAATCTATCGGCATAATCAATAAGAAATATATAAAATATGTATCAATCAATAGTAAAATAAATATGATCATGAAAGCAAAAAAAGATCTATAAAACTATAAGAAAATCGATCAAAAGGATGATCAATCAATGGACATGTTCTATATCAGTTGCATTTATCAATTAATTCATATGATATCATGTCAATACAATCATGAAAAAAATTATGAATAACAAGGCAAGACATATATCTTTAATGTGGTATCTTTATCCTTCCCACCCAACCGTCACCTAGTTGGTCACCAATATTTCTTTTAGTCTAAACTATCGACCAATTGAAGTTCAGTCTTTATCTTATCATAGTTATTCATTATCTTAACTCAATTCACATGTCGCTTTCAATAATAATTTAAGAGTAGTCACACTTTACCTTTTTGTATAATTCGGTCAATTGATTATATATTACACCCAAGATTACATCATGAACCTTGTATTTAAAAGAAAGCTCATCGGTCTACCCTTTTATGATATAGGATATTATATTTTCAAAACCAACCCGTATTAATTATAATGTTAACAACCAATCTTCATTGCTTACATGCAAATATCATATTTTCTTATTTCAGTTGTATCAGCCTCTCTTTAATGCATGAAATACATTAATTTATGAAATACATGAAATATGTATATTAACCAACATGAAATGCAATTTAAATGAAATACAATATAAAAAGAATGCAATGTAAAAAGAATATTTTGGAGTTGTTTGGATTAGTGTAAAAGGAATGCATGCAATTTTTATTTTTTTACTTGGTTTGAAGTAAAATGAATGTAACTTAAAGTGCAAAAAGATAGTGATTGGTGGTCGACATTGGCAACAATGTGGTTGGTGGTGGCCGATGGTGGGTGGATGGCATGCAACGATGGCAGTGGTGGTTGGCATCGGCCAGTGGCTATGGTGGAAGGCGGCGAGCGACGGAGGATGACTGACAATTGACAACTGGGAGTGGTGGTGGCAGGAGGAGGGCATCGGCGGCTGGTGGCAGACAAACAGAGGTAATGGTGGCCAATGGGTAGCAGTGGTGGGTGGTGAGTGGTGACAAGGGTGGTTACTAGCAATTGTGTGGCAGGGGTAGACAAATGAGATAGCAACGGGTCAATTGTGGTGAACATATGGCTATGGGGTGACCGACATCAGTGGTGGTCGGTGGCAGGCGACTAAAGTCAGTGGTTGTCGACGAGTGGCGATGGGAATGGTCGGCAGTGATTGGTGCTCGACAGTGGCGGTGCTCGACAGTGGCGGTTGATGATAGTCTAAGATGACGGGCGGTGGTTGACAGTTGCGGGCGGTGGCTAGCGATGATGAATGGCGATGGCGGATGGTGTTGATGGCCGATGCGTAGCGACGACGAGCAACGGTAATTACAATAAATTTTTGGTGTATTTAAAACTCAGCTAAATAAAAAAAAGTAAATGCATAAAAAATAAAGGGTAAATTTTTAAAATAAATATCATTAAGAATTTAATTAACTATTAAACCAACAAAATAAAAAAATTTAGAACTAGGCAAAGTCGCCCATTGATTGGGCGACTTGCTCAAGTTATAAAAACTAAAAAAAAAAAGATTACAGGAGAGAGAAAATGAGAGAGATAAATAAACTAAAAGATAGAGAAATAAAAAAATCCAATATAATTCTTTCTTTTTATACAGTTTGTTGGAGAGGAGCTACATCAGAATTTTTTATTTTTTTTATTATGTGTCAAAAAATTTAGAATGATATATTTTTATGATAACAAGAAAAAAGAATTGTTATTTCATCATAAATAATTTAGAATGATATTATTTTTATGTGCCAAATATTATTTCTTATTTCGTCATAAATAATTTAGAATGATATATTTTTATGAGTTATTATGTGTCAAAAAATTTCACAATTTAATTTATCATAATAAATTAAAAAAAAATAAATTAAAAATATATTATGAAAAAAAATTATGAAAAATATGTATTTTTAAATTGTTTATGATAAATTAAATTGTGAAATTTTTTGACACATTATAACACTTAAAACAAAATTCATTCTAAATTATTTATTAAAAATTAAGAAAAAAATATTTGCATTTAAAATTTTAATAAAAAAATTAAAAAAAATGTGTTGTGCCTCCTCTCCAACACAACGTTAACAAGAAAAAAGAATTGTTTTGGATTTTTTTATTTATTTCTCTTACTTTATTTCTCTCTCCTACTTCTCTCTCCTGAATTTTTTTTTATAACTTGAGCAAGTCACCCATTCAATAGGCAACTTTGCCTACTTCTAAATTTATTTTTTTTGTTGGTTTAATAGTTAATTAAATTTTTAACGATAATTATTTTAAAAATTTACCCAAAAATAAATTAGATGATAAATTTTAAATGCATAAAAATTTAAAATTTACACTATACACTGTTTTTAACTTTTTATTTTCAAAACAGCTGAGTTTGAACCGCGCTGAGAATCAGAACCACTTAACTTGGAGCCTAAGGCGAAGCTGCGTCGACGTTCTCGTCTCTCTGGACTCCTGTGGCCGCTGAAATTTCTCCAGGTCAGCAAATCGGCTATAAAATCCTGAGCTTTTTTCCGGCGGGGAAATGATACAGCGATCGAAGCTCGCGGAGGAGCTCAGAGACTACCAGATCCGATCGCAGCGCAAGTACTGGGTTGTCCTCTTGTGCTTCTCCGCCAAACCCCAAATTTCCACCAGGTTCTCATCCATTCTTTTTTCCTCCTTCCCAACTTTATCAATTGGAGAGGGAGTAATTATTCTTTCGTTGAAGGCATGAAAGATAGGGCGTATATGAATCTTTACGACTTTTGCTGAGAAGGCGCTGAATCTTTTTTTTTTTTTAAATTTCAGTTTTGACGTTTTTTTTTTCTGATATGATAACTGCAACTGGATTTACGGGTCCGCCGACGGTACGGAAATTGCTTTTCAGTAGAAGATAGTTATTGGTGTTAGATGTACTGTTTGTTCAGTGATCGGAGGGAAATGGAAGTTCTGACATGACCTAGATTTTCTACGATGATTCTATTGAGATATTTTTGTATGCATAGATGATCTTACATTACCCGAGAACATCAGTTAGTTTAAATTTCCTTGCTTTATGAGTCTGTAGGATCTACAAGTATGCTATTGAGATCGCGCGTGCGGCTCGCTAGTTGAGCAAAGGCCTTCCTCCCTGCGATGCTGATGTTGGAATTGATTAGGTTAATGAATTGACTAGGAATGACTGGAAAGTGTAAATATGCGGAGAAATAGGAAGCGTAGGAAGCTATGAATGAAGAAAGGTAGAGATGTCAGACCTGTTCCTTGATGGAAGTTGATTCCTAGATCCGAAGATGCTAGAGATGCAATTAAGTGTGATTGGTACTAAATGATTAATTTCTGCGAATACTGTTGCAATGTTCTATGGTTATGTTCTTTCGTCCATTGCCCAACCAAATTTAACTTTTTCTTTTAACAAGGATTGGAAGCTATTTTTAGGTGCCACAAGCATATTGTATTAGCATCTAGATATCTTAGGCATATTAGTTGTAACACCCCACAATATCCCAGCCAGTAACGTAGAGTATCACAAAGAAATAAATTTATAATTCTCAACATATAATACTTCTAAGCATTTCCATATGTGTATATATATATATACTGCAACTGTAGTACCACATATGTTATGAATAAACAGAAGCATCTAAATAGTCCCCATTTGCATCACACAATTAATTACAGAGCCACTAAAAAAATAAAAATACATCACTACAATTTGATAGCTTATATACCTCACATGAAATCTCACAAACACCGCTAAACAGAAAACCTAAATATTCATTAACCCGAGCCTAATTTGCTTCAACTTTTTTCTTGTCTTTCCCTGCAACAATAGCCAATATAAAAATTAGTGAGCTATGAAGCTCATAAAATTATGCAATTTAAATTAAAAAAAAAACTACACAAAACATTATAGTGAAATGTATAATTGAAATCATGATTGAATTAATTAATAAGATAATTACAAAACAACTTAAAACATATTTAGGATCATCTTTCATTTTATTTGAAGCTTGTATGAAATATCATAATTAGCCATATAAGGTTCAACTATTTTTTTCTTCATATAATTAGCTTTCATAAGAATGTTCAATGGAGTCCAAATAAATGCGGCATTATCGCCATTGAACTACATAGGGATCCCTTTTGCTTCTTTTGGGGTCCCTTGTGCCCCACCTGCATTATATGTATCATATCATTTTATAGCTAATCTTTTTAATTTGATATTCATCAGACTTCAAAATTTTGAATTCATACTTTATTTATTTTGTTTAGTACTTTATCATAAAAATTATACTTGCTTTGTCTTGCTTCATACTTAAAAAATAATATATCTACTATACTACTTGCCTAACAAGAATATATATGCAGTACATAACGTAATGAGTTTCTTTTCAAAATATTTCCCACTAAGAAAACATTTAGACGATTATATTACATCTTATTTTAAAGTCCAATTATTCAAATATATATGTGATCGCTCATACATGCAAACTTGGCTGTGAACCCACATTAAACAAAATAATTAACTTTAATGTTTATTTTCCTATAATTCTGTCAATTATCAGTGTACATGTCTAGAAATGACATTATATACTTTTTAAATTAAACTTGCATTACTTATCTATTTGACGAATTGTCTCTTCAAATCCGACACCTTGCACCATTTTCCTTCTGTAAATTACTTCGAAACCTCTCTTTTGCATATACTAATTAAATCCTAAAACAATTTATATAATTTTATTTAAAAACTTTTACTAATTTTAGAAAATCTAAAAGACAAATATAATATTGTAATATAATGAAATTACTTATTTTGATTTTCTTCTTCCACTTAGCAGAAATTGGTTTGCTTCTTACCCACCGAGAACCAATTCTCCTCAATGTCATTGTTCTCTGACAGCCACAAGTTATCACAGAAATTCTACTACGCTATCTGCCCCTCTTCCGTTTTCTATACCCTCAGTGAAGCCGATCCAACAATACTTGATCTCCGTCTCATTTGATCCCTGTGTTCCTCTCCTTGCTTCACTACTATAGCCAATCCTTACTTAACAAGCCGAACCTTCACTCCTTTCTGCTTATCACACGCATACTTCATTCAGACCTCCACTCCATTTCCTACTTCACATGTAAACAGAAGGCTGGTATGATAAAACCGAATGGGAAGAAACATACTGTTATTAATGTGAAACGAACCATTGAATAATTGCCTATTTTTGATTAGTGAATGCTTAGTTTAATAATAATAATAATAGCAGTAATTTACTAATTTATTTTAATTTAACTGTTAATACTAATTTAACAATAAATGAATATTAAACTTTAAAATAAGTTTTAAGATATATTGAATTAATTTAAAATTTTCAGGTATGAAAATTTTGGGTCTTACATTAGTGCACTTTTATCTTTGTTGAACGTTGTGTCAAATGTAATTATTTATGATGCTTTTCTTAAGATGATGATTGAGGGGACATATATGCCAAATGATTCTGCATGGGTATTAGGATCTCCAAAGTGCAACAGAGAAACAGCAACTGAAGATATCTGTTTTTTTGCTTTGCACTAGATCTAAAACTAGTGATGATAATGAGTCAAGTTTAATCAAATTGATGAGTCGAATGTGAAATCAGTGAATTCTTCTTGATTATAACTTAACTAGAAACTAACATAGTTGGGTCAGGTTGGGACATAATCAAAGTTGATTTAAAAAACACAAATTAAACAAGCATTCAAGGGAGGGATTGAACACAAGAACAATTGCATGCAATGAGAGCATTTCTTTGATGGTCAACTTGTTCTTTTTTATATACTCCTATAACTTGTACATTCATGATATTTGTTTGTTGCATCAAATCATTTTTAAGTAAGCCACACTACATTCAAAATTGACTAACAATAGAATTCAAATTAGTTCCTTTGGGAACCATAAATGCTTGTACTGATGAGGTCATCGACAGACATTTTAGGCAGGTCTACCGACGAAGGAATCATAGATCGACGGCTACGATTGGGAGCTTATATTTCTGATGTTGCCATGTCATCTTATGTTATTTTCTATGTATCTTTTATTTCAAGCCTTAGTTTACTATTTTGCCCTTATGAAGGTTTAGTTTTTGTTGTAGCCCAGTGGGCATTTGAGTCATGTTATTTTCATGTTATTTTCTGAGGCTTTTATAAGAGGTCTCCTCCTATTGTATGAGCTTAATGTTTGATTAATAAAATTATGAGATTTTCATTCTTCTTTTCTTGCTTGAGAGCTTTTGAGAAAGAGAGGAGAACTAGGAGAGGCTCCACCCGAAGTACCCAACAGCCCACGTCGGTGAGCTCTTGGTTTTATTTTATTTGGTTCACTGTTTTCTCCTTCCCCACCAAGCCTCCATACACCCAACCCCTCCTCTTGCCCCTCTTCCCGTCTCCCAGCAGCCATCCCTGTCAAAACCCCCCAAACCCGCCGGCCCAGGAACCTGTCTCCCTCCCTGCTGCCGGCTGAGCCAGCCAACGACCCAGCCTAGCCTGCCGCCCCCCCTTCTCCAGCCCGACCGAGCCTCTCCCCTGGAAATCCCGCCGTCCACCCTCCTTGTGTGATTCGAATTTCAGCCATTAAGCCTCCATTAATTCCTTCCTAATTTGTCATCTCAATTAGGCATGAAAATTAATTGAGGATTAATCTATTTGAATTCAAATTCAAATTTCCCCTCTCCCTCATTTGAAACTTCCCTAATTAATTGAAATATGAAATTTAAAACTCAGATTTTAATTAACTCATTGGGCCCCACCAATTAATCAAATCCCCTCTCTCTCCTCCTTGCTTGGCCGGCCACCCAAGCTAGCATACTCTCTCTCTCTCTCTCCTTGCCACCTAAGCACCCACTAATTAACCTCTTAATTTCCCCCTAATAGCCGCCCCCCTCTTTAATATAATTTAGGGAGACTATATTGGTAAAATAACCTCTCCCTCCAATCCATGAAAATCTGAAATTCAAATTCAGATTTTCCCCAAGTCTCTCCCAAGCTCACGGCCCAACTCCTCCTTTCTTTTATTCTTCCCGTCCACTTCTCAATGTTGAATGGCGGATCCCGAATTTGAGCGGGGGCTTGTGTTCAACGCCGACGGTAGTCTCAACATCCTACGATCCCCGTTCTTAGACGCGGGGTTTGAGCACGAAGACACAGTTGGTGAATACTTGGAGCGAATTCTCCCATCACTTGTGCGCGTCATCGACCGCCAATTTCAAGACTACGTTTGGACAATCACCGGGCGCCATCCACCACCTCCTCCACCGGCGGCTACCTCTCTGGTAACAAAGTCCTTCGTCTCCTTTTTCGTAGTGATGCTCTCCATCTTCGCGTGGTTCTTTCTTCTCCGCTAAAAGCCAAAGAGTGATTGAGTGAGAAGGTGCTCGAGGTGAATTTTCTCATTATTAATCGTGGGATTTTGTTATGAGCATTTAAGTAGTTCTTTTATCTTTTAATGTTTATGAATTGTTTGGTTATCTCAAAGCAACTCTTCGCCTAAGCAAGTTGATTACCTAGAATACATTTAATCCTTTATTTTATTGGTGATAAATTTGTGTTGGCAACGCTTTAATTATTTTCATCTTAATTTCCGCAAGCAATTCCTGTTCACATCATCTTGGTATCAAAGCATGGCTAGC